GACTCAGTAGTTAGAGCACTGGATCCAGGCTTGAAGATCCAGGATCAATTCCCTACATCTGCCATGAAACTTGCTAGGTGATCTTGGGTCAGTCACTCTCTCTCACCCTGACCTACTCCACAGGATTGCTGTCAGGATAAAAAACAGGGAAGAGAGAACCATGGGCTCCAGGAAGTACTAGTTGTAATTGGGGGGGGGTGCCTTTAAGGTACTCCCTGCTACCCATGGCCAGTGATCCACAGGAAAGCTTTCCTGGTTAAGACTTCAAAGAGTAAAGAGGAGGTGTCCTGGAAAAGAAGGGTCTACGATTCCCTGTCCACCAGCGTGTTTCCGCACCCGTTCTGTTGAAAGTAATTAATCATTTCATTTATTTATTCCATCAGTTTTCTGAGATGGCTGGACACAGCGCTTCAGAGACAGCATATTAATTAGACACGCAGTTAACAAACAAGAGAAAACCATTTCATTAATACCGGGACGAATTACCGCAGCAAAGAAGCTTTAGAAAGCCATTCAATAAGTATGGAAATGCCAACTGTTCACAGAACATATAGTTTGCTCTTCAAAGCCACACAGCAACATTTGTGTAATGAGAACAGATACATTTATGAATAAATGACCTGTCCTGCTAGATTCTGATATTCTTTCTCCCTTGCCAGCTGGCTGCCCCCTGGGGAACCCAAGCAGAGCAGGAAGCTAATGGTCTTACCCTTTTGCTTATTTCCATTACCAGGTATCTAGAGGTATACTGTTTCTGATCATGGGGGTTTCATTTAGCTGTCATGGTGGACTTCCATGGGTAGACCTCTCCTCCCATTGCATTCTGCACTTAAAGAAGGAGGAGGAGGAGGAGGAGATTGGACTTATATCCCGCCCTTCACTACCCAAAGGTGCCTCAGAGCGGCTTACAATCTCCTTTCCCTTCCCCTCCCCACAACAGGCACCCTGTGAGGTAGGTGGGGCTGAGAGAGCTCTTGACAGAAACTGCTCTTTTTCGAGAACAGCTCTTATCAGAGCTACGGCTTGCCCAAGGGTTATCCAGCCAGGTGAAAGTGGAGGAGTGGGGAATCAAACCCGGTTCTCCCAGATTAGAGTCCACACACTTAACTACTACACCAAACTGGCTGTGGCTCATCATAACAAGTTAGCATATACTGCACATGTATCCAATTTAATTCTGAACCAACTGTTCCAACCAGAGTATCATTCAAGGCACATGATAGGGTTGCTAAAGCTGGGCATGTTTAAGTTGATTCAGCGCCTGGAGGAGAGGATGCCTCAGAAGCATCCATCCATCCATGTGGCCTTGAGTTTCATGATGGAAGAGAGGCAGGACACAGATTAGGGATACTAGCCTGCAGGTGAGACCTGGGGCTCCCCCAGAATTACAGCTAATCTCCAGACTACAGAGATCAGTTCCCATGGAGAAAATGGATGGTGGACTCGATGGCATTATACCCCACTTGAGGTCCCAGTCCTCCCGAGGCTCCTCCCCCCAAAAAACCTAGGAGTTTCCCAGCCTGAACCGGGCAACACTACCCCACCCTGATGGTGGCCAGGGGGACCTGGCAACCCTGCTACAGACATAATTGTAATAATGAAAAAAACAACAACAACGAATCCAGAACCAACACACTGCTTTGGGTTCATAACTGGCTAAGTGAACAGCAGTTGCCATAAGCTGCTCATTGGGTCCTCTAGACCCTTAGCTTCACTCTGTACTTACACAAAATAGTTTTGCTCATCTTTGCATGTGAAGAAACATTCTTTAGGAGACAGCAGCAGACTGGGGGGGCCAAATTCAGGCTACAGATGTGTATTGTGAGTTTCATGCTGGGAACAAAAACGCACAGGGCCCCAACTTGAATCAGGGCCACGGGAGGGGGGTATGCCTTTCCTGATACTGTTTTCCTGAAGTAGCCAGGCGGGGGGATATTCTTTGCCCTACTAGGGATACAAGCCTCCTTACCACATTCACCATGGGCCCAATCCAAATTGGGTCCTATGTGACTGGGAACTCAGTTCCCAGCATAGTATCTCCAGCACACATGATCATGCAGACTGGGGGAGAATGTGTCATTAGGCCTCAAAGTTCTGGTAGGAAATTTTGCAAAAAACCCTTTCCCCCTATAAAGCTTCGTTCCCCCTTACTACAGTACATATTTCTAGTTTCCAAACATCGGTCTTGCTAATTTGAAAATCAGGTCATTATTCATTTATTTTGTATCAGACTTTAATTTTCTAGCAACTACAAATAGAAAGGGGAAAAAAATTAAATGTCAAGATGATTCATTTGGCAGGCTGATTATCTGGTATGACTTATCCCCGCATCATTCCACTCTAGTATTTTAAAAAAGTAAAAAATGACAGAGTCCCCATGGTGGACTATTTTGACCGAAAGTGGTGTGGGGCTCACTTTAGTCAAAGTGGAGGAAATCAGAACAGATGAGTACAGAAAGACAAGAGCGGCAGCTGTAATCCTTCTCCATTTCATGCAAATCAGGAGAGACCCTGAAGCCCCCTGGCAAAGTGCCAGTGAAGTCATCAAACAGGGGCATATTTTAATCAGATATAACAAGAGCACACTGCAGCCAGCTATTTCTTACAGGCCCACCCCTCCTCTTGTATTTCATCACAAATCCAGGGCGATAGAAGTATTAGATAAAGCTAATGGAAGCTCAATCAAAATGTACAACGTTTTATGATTGTACATCGCAGAGCACGTGGACTACTACAGTTACTCCTTACCTGGCACTCTGGATTCAAGCATCTATTTGTATCTGATGTACCAGATTTATCCCTGGGGCCATCACAAATCCACTCTGGCCTTTTGTTCCCCCAGGGGCATCTATGGCCTCATTATGCAAAATTTAATACACAGCAGGCTAAAGAGAGATAAGGGAAGGGAGGCAGACTCTGATGAAGACGTGAGAAGAATATCAGAATTCATTCTGGTTTACTGTCTTGAAAGAGTAACTCCAAGAGTTTATGGGCTAAGACTGAGTCAAATGTTTTAGGAATTAAACATGTTTTTCAATCTCCAACATCAATGGACTGAACTGGTTGGATGGCTCATGGTATTCAGTTGCTTAAAGTGTTTCTGTGTGGGGGGGAAAAGAGGTGGTAGTTTGGCTGGAAAAGCTGAGGACCAAACTAGACATTACATTTAACTTGTGGCTGCTGCAGGGACTTGAAGTCAGCTAGTAGCTGTACATTTCCCGTTGGAGCTCAGGTCTGCAGGGGCCAGCTTCAGATTGGGGCTGTGGCTTGGGGGGGGGGGTGTGCTTCAGTCTTTCTCCCTGTGCCCTTTTCTGACACAGTATGGCCCTGAGGGGCATTATTTGTCCAATGGGGGGGTGCTGCATGTGTACAACATTCAGTTTGGGAAACCTACTAGACAAAACATGGGAGGTCCTCCATCTTTAAAGTTCACAAAAAAGCTGCTGAATTCAAAGTAGGATCATGGTGCTGGGCATGGGGGTTAATCCTCTCTCCCAAGATGGTATGCACCCCAGCAGGGGGGGGAAAGTCAGTTTCTCTCCCTTGGAGGGGGCTAAGCAACTGCTTGGGAAGGAGTTAACCCTCCCTTCCATCCTACAATCATCATCCAGATCCAAACTGGGTACCCTTAGAGCTGCTTTTAAGTTAGATTTTATTATGGTTTCGTCTTGCCCCCAGCTGCACAATATCAGCACCTTATTCCTGGATATCATTTCTGCCCCTCCAACCGAACTGTGCACCAACAGTGTTATGTGAATGGGACTGTTTACCATGGCAGTTCTGTGGGGAGCAAATTAAAATATACCCTTTTCACATCTACTGTGGGTCTTTTGGGTGTGACAGCCCAGTACCTATCATGGATGAACTGTCTAAGTAATTTTTAGAAAAGCATTTCAAGCCAAGTGCTTCATTCTGAAGTACAAAAGCATTTGAAGGAAAAGGTTAAATGGTCGGCGATGCCTCTCCATCAAGGTGGCATTTGGATCCACGCTGTCTTAGCTGAGTCATGCCACGCTGCTGGCCAGGGTTGGGGTGGGTGGGAATCACAGCTCCATGACAATACGAGCACCTGGCGATTTCACACAGCAGTCCAAACAACAGCTCTGTAACCTAGACCAATATGGCCATCTCTGTCTTGCTGATTGGGCTCTGAAGCCACGATAGAATTATAGACTCATACAGGCCATCCAGTCCAACCCCCTGCTCAATGCAGGAGCAGCCTAGAGCATCCCTGACAAGTGTTTGTCCAGCTGCTGCTTAAAGACGGCCAGTGACGGGGAGCTCACCACCTCCCTAGGTAGCTGATTCCACTGTTGCACAACTCTTACTGTAACAAAGTTTTCTCTAAAATCCAGCCGGTACCTCCCCGCCCTTAATTTAAACCCATTATTGCGAATCCTATCCTCTGCTGCCAACAGGAACAGCTCCCTGCCCTCCTCTAAGTGACAGCCCTTCAGATACTTAGAGAGAGCAATCATGTCCCCCCTCAACCTCCTCTTCTTCAGACTGAACATTCCCAAGTCCCTCAGCCTTTCCTCATAGGGCTTGCTCTCCAGGACCCCAATCACCGTCATCGCTCTCCTTTGCACCTGCTCCATTCTGTCCACACCCTTTTTGACATGAGGCCTCCAGAACTGCACACAATACTCCAGGTATGGCCTAACCGATGCAGTGTACAGCGGGATCATGGCATCTTGCAATTTGGATGTTATGCCTCTGTTGATACAGCCCAGGATTGCATTTGCCTTTTTGTCACTGCAGAAGCTTGCCTAAAACCATCTGGTAGGAAGTTGATGGTCAAGGCAAGATCTGAACCAGAGGCTTTCTAGAGGGTAATGACTCATTCTCCTACCTGGGAGTAAGTTCCACTGAATAAAATAGGACCTGCTTTAGAGCAAACATGCATTAAGGCTGCACTGCTAGTTATTCTACTCTGCTTTCCAACGGACTACCCAAAGCAGAGTTGGCCAGCTGTATAAGAAGACAAGCCTCCTGGACCTTCAAGGGAGCGTCAGTAAGATTTTCGCCCCTGCTGAACCAGCCAAGAAAGCCCCAGCAGTTGCATCTTCATTCTCCTCCTTTGCCACAACCTAGAATGAAAGGGGGAACACACTTCCAGACCCACAGAACTTGGTGGAACTTAAAGGAAGAGTTCAAGCACCGAAAGATGCAGTCTATATACGCTTACCTAGGATTATCCCACTCCGAACTGTGGGACTGACCTCAGAGCAGACAACTACAGGATCAAGTCACAGCAAGACCATAACTCTAAGTATACTTATAAGGGGGTAAATACCATTGGATTTAGCAGGGCTTACTTTGGAGCAAGTGAAGTCACACGAGCACATACATGAACAGAAAAAGCTGCCTTATACTGAATCAGACCCTTGGTCCATCAGTGTCGGTATTGTCTACTCAGACTGGCAGTGGCTCTCCAGGGTCTCAGGCAGAGGGGACTGGACCTGGGATGTTCTGTATGCCAAGCATATACTCTGAGCCATGGCCCCTCCCAGAACTGGGATGGAAGCATTACAGGTTTCACCCAACTGGCTCGTCCCCAGAGAAGTTATCCTGTTTACAGGAAAGAAGCAGGGAAGGGAAAGCCCATGTAATCCTTCCTTCCTTCCAAAGGTGTCAGCCAATCCCCAGATGCCCTGGAAAAATGGTCTATGTGATCCCTTTCAGTATAATAAGCACATCATGATCTCCAAGGCAATGGTAAGTATATCCCCCTCCCCAGCTCGGAATATCATTGACTTCTTTTCTGAGGAGCCAGCTGCCCTCTTGTGAACTGGTTGGGGGGGGGGGAGGCATCTGCCATCCCTTCCAGAAGGAAGGCCTGCACACACACACACACACACACACGTGGCGGGGGCCCTTCTGTGAGGCCAGGCCAGGCAGCCCTTGCTCCTGGAGTTGTGAAGAGCTGGGCACCATAAAAGTGAAGACGGGCTGATTTGTCTTAATACGCCCCAGACCAGTTCCCATTGATTTATATGAGGCCTGAGCAGGAGAACCTTTGGGCAGTTTATGCCCCCATGTCCATCAGTGAGGCCAGGCTAGGCAGCCCTTGCTCCTGGAGTTGTGGAGAGGTGGGCACCATAAAAGTGAAGACGGGCTGATTTGCCTTAATACGCCCCAGACCAGTTCCCATTGATTTATATGAGGCCTGAGCAGGAGAACCTTTGGGCAGTTTATGCCCCCATGTCCATCAGTTGGAGGGGAGGAGCTTTCACCTCCTGCAGGCAGATGCCTCTGCCAAGTTCCCCCTCTAGTCTGTCCTTTCCTCCTCACGAAATTGTGAGGCATTTCTGAAAGGTCAGTTACATAAAAGGAAAATCGATCAGTGTACTGTGACCTAATAAAAACAGATTGGGGAGGGGGGTTGAATTTGAGCAAGCAGAACGGGTGGGAGGGAGAACAAGTTCAGAATTCGTGAAGACGAAATGAGTGTGTGGCGTGGCATACACAAATTTCACTCCCTTCCCCAGTTAAAATATCATCATGCCACAGAACAACATTGGTGACTGGAAAGCAGGACCATCTCTGGTTCTGGCTCTACTGTTATATAAACCAGTCAAAAGATCAATATTAATCTGCTTACTGCTAAACACTGATGCAACAAGAGAGAACAAGGCTTCTCGCTATTTAATGGAGAATATGGAAGTACATGCTTGTGAAATAGCTATATCTTTTGATAAAGGAGCCAAGCTTTAAGAAAAGACTGTAAAGAGCTTGATCTTCCAGGGGAGAGTACAGTTGGAACCCACAGTGCCTCCGCAAATAATTTCAATTTGTTTACCCCCATCAGGCCTTTTCTGATTCCAGACACTAGTTGAGGGTGTCCAGCCTCAATTCCAGAAACAAAATTGGATGGAAAAGAGATAGACAAAAAAAGCACAGTCAGTGTACTGGTGGTGACCCCTCACTTCAGACCTCTGGATGACACTTTTCCACTCGCACAATTTGGTCCTAATATCCTTCAACACCAATGCTTGAATGGTACCAAAGTCCATGTTTCAGTTTGGGTATTTCAGCCAGATAGACTGACTGAAGCGGGCTACATGTGCATTCTACAGCTCTGAATGAAAGCTCTGGAGACAGCATCACTGATGTTGTGAGGTAGAAATCCAGGAATAATTGACATTTTTGCCTGGAGCTAAGAAACACTTTGGGAAACAGTGCGAGAAGTGAATTCACAATGAAGCGTACCAAGGAAGCTGAGAGAAAGGGACTAGACTGCCTCTGATGCCAGGGTCGGTTTGAAGCAAATTCCTGCATGAAGTTTAGCATCCATGACAGGTGCCAGCTTTCATGAAATGAAGACCCTTGCTCCTCCAGTACATGTTATCCTTGGTAGTTACTATGCTATTAGTAGCACTTTCCTCACTTAATATCAGGGAATGGATGCCCAGCGGTCAAAATCCATTTCTACTTTGTTCTCCATTGCTCCAAAAATACCCCTCCCTCCCACGCTCGGCTTTAAGAGCTTTGTTTAATTTTTCTCCAAATTTAAGGAGCAAGCCCCAGTTATGTACAGAATGAAGGAACAAGTTCATCTTTCTCTCAAGGAATTTTGAAGTGCCTTTCTGCAGTTTGGGAGTTCTTTTATACCGCATGAAATAAAATGGCAGAACTAGATGTCAGGGCAGACAGGAGGCCTCTACCAAAAGTTGTGGCCTTCTCCCTCATCATGCAGTGCAAAGTTGCATGACATCATCTGGGTTTGGACTACATTAAGGGGAATGTGCATACTTCTACAGGGAGGTTTTACCCTGTGTGGGCAGTGCGAAGCTCCCACTGCATTTGGGAGCATCCAGACTGTCTTGGCACAATCTGCAGGGCTCCATATTTCCCCCCCAGTGAGCTGGAATAAAGAAAAACCTCCATTAAATTGGCTCACTGGGGACACTGTGGGATTAACGACAGGTGGGGTGTGTCCATGCAGATGTTCCACTTGCAACTAATATGAGGAGGGAATGGAACTGAGCTCCATTCTCAAAATGATGTGGGGCAGCTCGCTGTTCCATGCCATTCCCCCCCCTTTAAGCCTTAAAAGGGCTTTTTAATGTTTCCCAGTTGAGCTGTGGTGCAGCAGCACACAGACTAGCTGCGAAAGGGAAGGGGGCTTGAAAAAGTGGGGGCACCAAAACTGTACCCACATCTGCGTTTCTGCAAAGACACAACACATACAAGTGGCGGAATAGAATTTCAGAAGCAGCCGCAAGCGCAGCAGAATGGCTGTATGGGGAAACGGTTCCTGCTCACTTGCTGTCCCTGTCATATTGGGGATGTGCTTTCATGCCCCTGTGTACAACCAGCCCGGGGGGACATCCGTGGAACTTCATCATGGGCACAGGGAAGCTCTGATCATGGCAGCACCTCACACACCAAGGATGCCCAGATATCTCTTGAGTTCTGAAAGCAGACCAGGCTCAGGTATTATATTCCTGTCCCACGTCAAGGTCCCAAGAGGCCTGGCTCTGTCATTAAGATGGTGGCACCATCAGGTAACTGGTTCCCTCAGGCATAGATAGGCTTATTGAACAAAATCCAAAACTAGAAATGTACCACCAACCTTTATCTTTTAAGTGAACATTTGCTACTCCTTGATTACAATTTGTTTTGGCAGCCATGGACTAGATACATTTGCTTCCAGGGCCTGATTTGGCCCTCATCTATGCTCCAAATTCTATCCAGAGACGGGATTAATTTGATGGGAAACTTTCCACTGAAGAGCTCAGATTTCAAAATTCGTACATCGCAAAGTCAGTATTCAAACTGCCACAGCTTGAGAGCTTGCTAATTGACAATCACCTAACTGGAAGTCTAAATTTTTGTTTATTCTCATCATATTCTTTGATGAAGATCAAAAAACAAAAACACTCAATTATCTCTGGAAACACACTTGTTGCATTCTTAGAACACCTACAACTGAGCAGAACATAACCATGGAAACAGGGATGTAGTCATTATGTTTTTAAAACCAATTAGGATATCAGAACCAGAAACTTATATTCACAAGGAAGGTTTTTGCAATTAGAAAGAGCTTCTTAAGCAAAAGAAGAAATTATTTACTTGGTAAGACCTGAAAAGGTGAGAAGAGACCCAGGCAGCTTGACATGTACACAAGACCTAATGCAGAACTGACTTGTGTGGTAAAGGAATAACTCAGTAAAGCCAGGAAAATATCTTTAAGACACCTTAAACCAGCAGGAACAGCTCAGGGTAGAAAAAGACCTGATCACAAGGTTGCAAAGGTCTCCTGTATAAATGCCATTGCAGTGAATGGGAGCCCCCAGTCCAAGCCCAAGGAGTTAAAGATAGAATAAGGACACTGCCAGAATTTTGTAGGCAAAAATAGGGATTTTTTTTTAACATCCTCATGTTCACACCAGCTTTCCTAGGCAACCAGTCTCCTAACTACTGTATATTCTGGAAAGCTTGTTTCTGACTTTGAGTGGGCTACATTCATTTGTTCTGAACAGCCAGTCCTGCACTGGCACTGTGTGTGTCCATGCATCAGCTCCGAGTGACACGTGCACCCAGAGTCTAGACAGATGTACCCTCCCCCAATTCAGATATTTCAGTTTCAGAGACCAAGCTGCATGTGTTTGGGAAATGAATCCTGACAAACATTTATTGCATTTTTATTCCACCTCTCCTCCAAGGTCCTCTGGATGGCATGTATAGTTCTTTCAATTTATCCTTACAGCAGCCCTACGAGATGGGTGAGCCATTCTCTCTTGCCCAACCTGAGATCATGCAGTGTGTTTCCTGACAAGTAGAGATCTGAACCTAGGACTTCTCAGCCCTATTCCAACACTAACCACCATGTCTTGACTACAGAAACTCATGCCAGCAACATTTCCAAAAGGTATCCACTAAAATCTCTCCAAAAGAAAACAAGGACAAGAATTTACCACTAAAATCTCCCCAAAAGAAAACAGGGACAAGAATTTACCACTAAAATGTCTCCAAAAGAAAACAAGGACCAACAACTACCAGAGAACAAGGAATTGGACTCTCTTCCCTTGTATACCTGTCTGGAATAATAATGGAAACCATTATTAAGGAAAGAATTAGTAGG